ATGAATATTCATCAGTTCTGCAAGTTTCAAGTCAAAAGGTAAAATGGTTTTCCACTTATCGTGTTATCGGTAAAAGTGCACGGCGACGGCGACGACAGACGCAGATGATGGCTATATGTACAGACACATCTGTGTCTGTACATAAAAATTATACAAGAGATATAGCCAGAGTGGATTAACAAGATTCAGAGGCCTCCTCAGTAGGTTATTCCTTTCACTCACCTCATATGTCACCTTAGCTCCAAACAACCATCCCGCACCCCGGGGGCTGATGGACCACGTCTCCACATCTTCAGGGTCAGACCAGACAAGATGTAGACAGCAGTTAAGAAAAGCAGTGTACACGTTTCTAGACCCACCACAAAAAAATTTTAATTATTGATCCTAGATGAGACAAGAAAAAAAAATCCGCCGTATACCTTTCTTGTCCCATCACACAATAATTTTAATTATTGATCCTAGCTTGGAGAAGAAAACAATCAGCTTTTTTCACCCCTGAAGAACACAAAGTCTCTCCCCCTTCCCCCTAGCTACCCACAAAAGGGGTAAACCAACCAGCAAGTAAAGGATATCACAGAACGCTCCCTTGTGTGGGATCTCCTGGTTCCTTTCTATTGTTCTGATCTGATCCAATGTCTTCAGGTCTGGTGACAAACCTCCGTGAACACACAAGATGGTCTCATCAATTATCTGCAAATAGCAAATATATTCAATACAGCAATACATATAATGCAATACATGTATTAGTATGTGTGTGGATGATCCAGTTCCACACTTTACTAAACTTAAATGCTATTACATATCTAACTCTACATTTTGAGGACCTACAGCTTGCTGAAAACTGGCAGTTCAACAGCAGTCCTTCAAAGGTATTCTTTTCAGCGAAAAAGACTAACTTAACAATGATTATCACAAATATGTCTCAAATAAAGATTGATGCTTACAAACATGTAAGATGGCATCACCTCTGAACCATTCCTATCTTTTAACCTAACACTGTATCCCATTTATTGCTATCACTGACTGACCAGTGGTCATCTAATACTGCCCACTTCAGTAACTTACCGCAGCTATTGTTAACAGATCAAATACTCGGCAACAGTACCGCCACGCATTGGCATTTCCATACTTTGTCTGGCACTCATCTGAAACATTGATATAAAAAACTTCTCAAATATTACCACAGCAACTGCGACTGTTACAATTAGTTATTAATAAATAACCAGTTTCATATATCTCTTACAACAAGAAAAATATAAGGGCTACTTTCTGTTCCATTACATCCTAGCTAAATTGGGAATGCATCTCTTTGCAATTTTATTTGCTACAATGAACTCACCATAAAAACCATACACCTGAGTAATCTGTCGACTTTCATGGTTCCCTCGTAGGAGTGTTATTTTATCTGGCCATCTAGCAAAAAAATTAAAGTATAGTTTTGTCAAATATTTTGCTCAAATTCATTGTTATATATAAGGGAGAAAGGGGAAATGCCTTAAATTAAAGTTCATAACCTCCTTGGAAATTAAATGAAGCATTTCAAATCTAAAACAAGTAGGAACCTAAAGTTAGAGATAAAATTTGAAAACCACAAAGTTTATTACCTTGCTTTTAGTGTAAGAAGTAGTGTGAAGGTCTCTAAACTGTAATATCCCCTGTCTACAAAATCACCCTGAAAGCAATATAATATAACATTATAATTCAATGAAAAAGGTGGTAGTTAAGGAAGAACTCATCTCATAGATTATCATAAGGGTAAATCAGCAACTGGGTTCATGCAATACATACAAGGTAAAGTATAGAAACCACAATAAATCCTACTCATATCTGAACTCCTGAACCCCAATTTTTTTATTTGTTAAGTCTACAGAACATATTTTATGGATTTTAATTTATTATTATTATTAATTAATTAATTAGTTTTAAAATAACTGGACATTAAAGCAACATTTATAATTAGACCCAAAGAGACATGCTGTCAAGATTAAATACTCACCATAAATATATAGTTTGTGTCTGGGACCTCCCCACTGGTTCTGAACAGCTCTTTTAGGTCATAAAACTAAAAAAAAGTACTTTTTATCAAATACTGCAAAATAATTATTGGCCACATAATGACATATGTTTGCACTAGCTACAAGTGAATATGAGGAGAGTTGGAGATAAAACAGCTAAGTAAAACTGCATTCCAAATACACACACACCTGTCACCCACCTGTCCACGGATGTCTCCACAGACAGTGACAGAGTTGGACACAAGGGTAAGATGACATGTCAGATCATACTGTCACCTACCTGTCCACGGATGTCACCACAGGCACTGACACATTGGTAATATGATTTGTCACGTTACATACTGTCACCTACCTGTCCATGAATGTCACCACACACTGTGACAGGGGTAGACACTGGCTGTACATTGGATTCCTCCAGTAACAATTCAGAGCAGTAGTCACAAAGTTTCTGAAAAAAAAAAAAGAAAACAAACTTATCCTGCTGGTCTGACCAAACAAGTAACGTAACACTGTCTTGAGTCTTGTTGCTTTTCCATTAAATGAACCACGTTTATGGAATTTTTAATGTATTTACTTATGTTTTGAAT